AGATTATCAGAAGAACCACACTCAGGTTGGGTGTCAGAATTCGGTATGTGACTACTTACCATCCTCAAGCGAATGCACCTGTTGAAAGAGGACACAAAACTTTGAAAGATTCATTGACCAAGTGGTGTGAAGGAAATCTCAGCAACTGGCCAAAAGTATTAAGAGCTGCTGTATATGCTGACAACATCACAGTCAAGAGGACTACTGGCTATGCACCATTTACTCTATGGTATAGTCGATATGCTACATTGCCTATTGAGAGTATTGTCAGGACATGGTCAAGTCAAGAAAGTGACAGAGACTATTCCATCTCAGAGCTCCTACATATCAGAATGAGGCAAATATCAGAAGTTGATCAGACAATGATGGATGCTGCAGAAAGGATGACATCCAACAGGCTATCAGATCAAGAAAGATGGAATAAGAAAAGATATATAAGAAAAGAGAAGTTGAAGATTGAAGATGTTGTCCTTCTGTTTGACAGTTCCCTTGAGACACAATGGACTAAAAGATTAGAGTCCAGATGGCTTGGTCCTTACAGAATCACAGGGGAAGTAGAAGGCAACGTTTACGAGATCTCAGAGATGGATGAATCCAGGGTTCACGACATGGTATCGGGTTCAAGACTTCGTAAGTTTATATTCAGAGACCCAGATCTGATTCCTACAGTAACCTCAAAGAGGGGGAAGAAAGGTCAGTCATCCAAGTGAGAGAACAGTCATAGAGAACTGAGAGAAAGAGTACAGTGAGACACTGAGGCAACAAGACTCAGTTTCAGCGGACTCAGATCATTCATGCATAGTCAATTCAGCATTTCGGATTCAGCATTTCAGTTTCAGAACTTCAGTTTCATCATTTCAGTTTCGGTAATTTAATTTCAGTCTTCAGTTTCAACATCTCAGTTTCAGTATCTCAGTTTTCATCAAGTCCTTTCATTCAGTATTTCAGCAAACGACTAAGTCAAGTCTTATGATGCAGTGCTACAGTCGTTCCATGAGTATCAAGTCCCTTAGAGTGGGGAATAACTGTAAAATCAATTTCGTAAGTATTGACACGGTGTTAAAGATTTGAGAAGCTCATGGCTATCCTAAGATAAAGGGAAGAGCATGGTGGGCGTGAAGAAGTTCAGTTCTGTCTAACCAAGAGTTATCATCAGAAGAACTTCGTGTCTCTGAGTAAAATGTCCATCCAAGAGATTCAGATGAAGGCAAGCATAAAGAAGTTCAGCTTTACTTGACCGAGAGTGGTCAGTAGAGTGACTTCGTGCCTTTGGCTAAGGGCCTGTCTTCGCTCGGATGAGGGAAGGGACCTCTCCGAGCTCAGCATTTCAGTACTTCCTTGAGACTGACGGGACGTCTCTTGGAAAAGAAAAGGAAATTCCCAGCTGAGGGAAGGGACCTCTCTAGGGTCACCACTAAGCATCCTTCTTGAGACCGAAGGGAGGTCTCCTGTAAGGGTTTGGTTCTGGTTATCATGTTGTTGTTCAGTGCCTCTCGAGACTGACGGGACGTCTCTTGAGAAATAATTGTCCTGTTATGAGGCATGGGCAGTCTGTTTGTAGGTCATGATATGCTTGCCTGATTGTCTGTGCCTGTAAGTTTTCTTCTCTAACCTAAGGATGCGTTGATTGCCGGGGCCAGCCAGAGCCTTACCGCAGTAGGTTGCAATCTGGTGGGGTCAGCAGGTCCCCGACGCGAGTGTCGAATTTCGTAGTCGGCTGAGGCTAAGACTTTGGGAGTCTGGCCTATGAGGTCGAAAGGGGTCAGCTGGAACCCTACCGCAATCAGAGGATGCAATTCAGTGAGGTTCGCCAGAGCCTGAAACTATGGTTAGACCGGGTCCCACGTTCAAAAATCTGGGCGGGGCAGCCAGCGCCCTTGGCCAAAAACTGGTAGGTGAGCCGGTCCCTGACCGCAGTGGTCAAATCAGGGTTCGGATAGTTTGACTGACGAGACGTCTACTGTCATAGGGTGACAAGACCCGCTATAGTCTGGGTGTCCTGGCGAGAGTGCCAAAGGACTGTCATACTCGAGTAGTGCGTATGCTGGTTCTGACCTGGGGGCAGATCAAAGGGGCTGTCAAGACAAATGGTCTGACTAGTCCTGGCCTGAGGCGGGCGGAATGAGGTATATCAGACTGACGGGACGTCCGGCATTCCTGGCCAGTGGTGAGCCGAAACCAAGGCAATCAATAAATCCTGGGTATGAAGGGTTGTTGTATTAATTATTATTTGTTATTTATCATTTTATTTATGGGTTTTATTTTATTGTTAATGCTTGACTGCTGGTTGTTAGAGGGTCTGCTTGCTGGGGCATAGTTATTGTCTGTGGGACTCGTTGTTTTGCAGGTATACAAATACTTATCTGAAGTTCCTGGGCCAGAGAAAAGAAAAAGGGTTTGGTATCCCCTCCCTTTTATCTAAGAAGTTGAAGAGACGCTTCACTTAGGCCAGAGAAAGAAAAACAAGGGTTTGGTATCCCCATCAGGTGCTTGAGAAGCTGAGAAGACGTCTCACTCAGGCCCGAGAACAGAAAAGAGGGTTTGGTATGCCCTATTTCCAGCATGGCAGACAGTGAGAGTACCCTCGTTACTGGGGTCATCCCTGGCATAGATGCCTGATCAAGAGCTAAGGTAACCTTCATACAAAAGACCAGCAGCTGAACCTGTAAAACAAGCTGACAAAATCCTTCTTAAAATTTTATTTGGTGGCCGACAAGCGGCTTGGTTCACGAGGAACCTGCATCCCTGGCCTTAAGGAAGCCAAACTCTCAGGCCTGGGACGCTGTAGAATGGACTGTGGACTGAAATTTTTATGGGCGGAAAACGGACTCAGAGAGCTGAGAAGAAATCATGTTTATATAAGATGTAAAAGACGACCATGAACTTCATCTGCAAAAGAAAGAGAAGAAGGAAGATACTGAAGAGAAATACAATGACCAGGATGATGAGGTGACGAGACGGCACATGGGACAGAGGAAGGCGGAGATGGCACTATGGCCTTCCTCACTGCAGGGGTGGAAAGAGTCCTAGGGATCTAAGGGGGAGAAGAAGCGTTGGGTGTGCTGTAGCGTGCATCAATTTTTTTTCGGAGGTATTCCATCCTGTCTGGGGATGGAGTCTTTCCGTACCACCATGTTAGTGGGTAACGCGGGTAAGGCCTCGGATGCGCATAGCCTCTTAGCTCTTCTTCCCCCTCCTCCTCTGAACTATAATCGCGCCATGCCCTAGCAGGCGGCTCCTCTTTAGCCTTCCCTGCCCTACCTCCCCTTCCTCTACCCTGTCCACGGCGTGCCTCAGGCATGGTAGAGAGTGAGGAGGCTGCTAAGGGAGAGGTGAGAGACAGAGGATGTAGCACTAAGTAAAATCTATGAAAAAAGGAGGTGCTATACGAAAGAAATTTACGATGATAAGATGGATCCTGAAAGCGGAAGCGGAAAATTACCAAGAGAAATAAAGAGAATAACCGCGCTGACTACAGGAGACTACAGCATGCTACATGAGAGAGAAGATGAGCGCTAAAAGAAAAAGCAAGCGCAGAGAGAAGACGAACGTCAAGGGAGGAGCCTAGCACAGAGAAAAGAAACCTAGCGCAGAGGGAGGGAGCTAGTTCGGAGAGAGATGGCTAACGCGGAGAAAGATAGGCGAGCGCAGAGGAAAAGGGTGGTGCTGGAAAAGAGAGTGAACGCTAAAGCAAAAACAAAAAACAGACTGTGTAGAACTACAGTGCGGGCTCCACAGTGAATCGCAAGTTGGAATGAATGAGAAGTATTGCTTGCTCACTCTGGTTTTATGTTGAAAACGCGATGCGTTTCGACCCAGCGGGGACGCTGGGGACGCTGGGTGGGGGTTTGGTATTATGCCGGAGGGCACGGTGTCCCGACCCTCCTTTGTGTACCAGTTCCTCACTCAGTGCCAGTCCCTTGCCCCGACTTACTGATCCCCAGGCTCATCTCGTGCTGTTTAGGTCTGGTACCTAGATTATTCTCGGCGCCGACCGGCCCTGGTGGCGTAGCCCTTAGCAAAAGGGGTGCGCCACAGGACTTCCATTGGTCCACGCAGGCTCGGCGCCCTGCTGTACAGCAGAGCACGACCGGCCTGTGGTCGTGGTAGCCGCCAGGATCGCCGTGGGACGCGAGAGCAAACGGACCAGCGCTGTCATTTCAACTGCGCGCCAAGCGCCCCTCTGCAGAGTTATGGGTTAGGTGCACGAAATAGAAGTCGCTGATTAGAAGGGAAAAGAGAAAAAGGAAAAATAAAGCGCCGAATTTGGACTCGTTTTAGTTTGGGAAAAATCCAGTGGCCTCGGGCCACTGTGATGCTGCGATTTCCTTTCCGTTTTTGATTTATTGTTATTATTATTATTATTATTATTATTATTATTACCTGACTTTCCTGTTTTCAATTTTTTTTGCCCCTGTTGGCCTGTCGCTTCGCGGGAAGGCCAACGGTTCGACTTTCGAGTTCAGTGGTCCACAGCCTAAGTTGGCCGACCTCACATATACCGTTTGTGGGTGAGCTTCGATTGAGCGTCGTGCGGTGAGGCCCCAAAAGAGGGGCGAGTCGGGCCTATCACCCCCCCCATGGAGGGTCATAAGCCCCCTCCTTGCCATTGGACACGGGCACCCGATAAGGGTGGACCGACGAAGAGTTTTTAAAGAAGGGGTAAGGCTGTCAGTGTCCCATTATGGGACTTTTTTTTTTTTTTTTTCTTAGACCCCGGTCACTTCGCCCCAAATAGGGATTGATGTAGCTATAAAGCGAGTGTATTGTTTGTGCACCGACTGTTGAGATCCCTCCTTACCTGCTTAAAATTTATTAAAAATTCGTGTTATTTTATTAATTTCAAGAATTCAAAGTTATCATCTGAAATTCTCTTTAGTACGCAGAGATCGCGGCCACTCTGAGCCCTATAAAAACTGGGGCTGTTACCTGTGGGGGGCATGTTATTGCTCCACAGGTGTAGGCAGTGATATACGCTAAGGCTCTGTTTTCTCGATAGTCGGGACTAAGCCTGTCCAGTAGTATCGCGTGCAGTCTAGTATGAATAGAGCTCTGGCATTGACTACTGAGGGGATAGCGGCTATGGCGTTGTATGGATACAAGCCTGGCTACTGGTACCACCAGGCCCGTTGGAAGCCTATATCTGGGGAAGGGCCCTGGATCACAGTCATGCTCAATTACGATGGGGGTGATGAGGTGAAGATGAAGATTAACGTGGAAGGGGCTAAAGAGGTGGAGATGCGGACTGATGGGAAACTACAGGACGTGATCACGGAGGCGAAAGATCGTGCGGAGAGGCGTTGCAGGAGGGACGGAGTGACAACAAGATTGCAGGTAACGGTCTCATATCATGAGACCGAGACTTCAATGGACACGGCGGACCTGGAACAAGCCCACCTGGACAGGGACTCAGGTGGTGAGAGTGAAATGAGTGAAGTGGGAGACCGGGAGACAGACCTCAGGTCCTGGGATAGGCCAGGTGAGATCCAGAGGCATCACCGAGCCACGAAGCCGGTGGAAGAGGGACCCAAGGCCAACTCGAGACAACTGACGCCCAGAGGCCTCGGGCCGGGAGAGAAGCAGAGCAGGGGGAAAAAACATGTCTGAAAAGATGCGCGCGCGAGAGGGGGAAAACGGGACTGAACTGAAATGAGAAAAAGTGTGCGGTGTGAGACGGACATGCGATATGCTGGGAGAGCGAACAGAGGTGAACGCGGGTACGCAGGAGTTGATGATGTCAACCTTGCTGTCAATCGCCCGATAGAGGTTTTTCTCTTTTGGTTGAGGAAATACGAGTGGTGGAAGGTAAGGAGGTGTTTTACACGTGTACAGTGTGCCACAGTGAGAGAGTCGAGAGGAAGAGAGACAACGCCAGGGGACGCGCAAGTACACGTATGCGGTGTACGAAAGAGAGAGAGAGGTGTCTGACGAGGAAAAGGTTGTGAGTTGGCGTCATCTGTTCCGGCCCCATGCCTTCGAGTGATGAGTAGTGGCTGCAGTCACTTCGGTGACATCATCGGTACGAACCCACAGCGACGGGGTCGAGCTCTACAAGGGCTACGTGAAGCTAGTACGCGACAGAGAAGTGGCAAGCAAAACAGAGCCCTGCAGATGCGCGCCCACGGTGGAAACTAATATGTGCTTGCTTTCAAGAAAGAGATATGGACTGAGTGAGAGAGCGAGGGAGTGAGAGAATCAACGTAAATGAGTAGTGTTAGCAGAGGAGGAAAAAAAGAGGAGATAGCCGGCCAAAGCAAGAGAGGGAGACGGGGCTATAGGCATTAGAAGCGCTGCTTACGTAATGGGATCGTTCTCATACAGGGGACCGCCTCAATTTCTTTCCTCACTAACCAAGACGAGCCGATTAGAGGGAGTGACTGCCGACGCTGTCGGGTCTGGACTGGAAGTTGAGAGTTGTGAGTTGTGACTGACGTCAATGGTTATCTGAGCGGAAACAACTGAAATGTCATGCTTGAAGGGTCCGAGTGGTTGTCTTCGAAGGACCCTGCCATCTTCCATATCCGGCATGAAAACGAGTAAAAGTTAGTGTGCATGGTTTGGATGACGCGAATGAAAGTGAAAGGGGGAGATCAAACCCTCTATGGGTGTCTGCGGGGAAACACCGTTGACGTCACAGGCTGTGATCATTTTCTTCTTCCTTTTCTCTTTCTTCTTTCCTCTCTTTTTGGTCTCTCTCTGAAGTAACAGTGATGCTTGTTGTCATATTCAACCTTCTTTGTCAGCTGGCGATAGTAGGGGTTTGAGTGAAGCTCGAGAGGGATTAGACATTAGGGACGGAGTTTGGTAGCGAGTTGACAGGAGAGTGAGGTTGGACCACATGTGTGTATACTCGGAAGAGTGAATGAGTTCGAAGAAGACGGCGAATATATGACAAGCTTGCGCGAGGGTTGTGAGGGGAACATAAGGCTTGCGTTTACATTAGGCTCGTGCAAGCGCTCTGCGAGTGACGAATCGGTCTGTTTTTCCAAGCGAGTTACCTAACTCTCACTTTGTACCTCGTCCCAACCGCAGTAAAGAAGGGACAAATCAACATCGAACATGAAGATGAGGTCTATTGGTACGAGGGTTCAAGTTTGCCTAAGGGTTCTAATCAATGCC